TTTTTTTGCAACAGTATAAGAGATGATTTCTTAAGCCAAATATAAATCCAACACCAAACATGGCAGTCCAGCCCACATGCAGAAAGAAAAATCGGATTTTTTCCCCTCAAGATTTGCAGACAGTATGTAAACTCAAGGGTCCCCAGGCTTGGCTGAGATGTGTAAGAGAGATACAGTACGATGTGAGGGAAGGAACATGCCACTGAGTCACACACGATCACTCACACTGATTTACTCTGACTAATTCCTTAGAAGTGATTAATCAGGCTTTTTACTGGTATAGTTGGCCACAACACATTCCCAGCACTTTGACTCAACATGCAGTCCTCAAAACATTGACAGTCATCCTCTTAAGTGTAATTAATGAACCATACTCCTCACCATTTCACTTTCAAGGACAGTATATGCCTGTAAAATCTATTTTAGGTCAAGCTAGTAAGTACTCTTTCTAGTTTCTAAATTTGCCTGCAGGTCTGAATCTTGCCTCCAGCACTGTGGTCCATTTCTGTATGTGACATGTCTTTTTCATTAGTCCAGTTCTCAGTGCAGCCCAACTAGGGCTTAATCAAATCTATATATAAATGGGCACAGGCTAAAAAAGCATATAAATATATCTACGAATATAGCTTTAAACCCATGAAAGTAATAAAATAATGAAAAATGGGAAGAGTTTGTGGTTACAATAGATGTTCAGAGGTTTTTTTTATAGTATTTTTTATGGTCCCTGCATATGTGCTGATTGCTTGCCAGAAAATGTCATTCAGTGCTTAGCATGGCCAAGTTTATGGAAACCATGACAGTATGATTTAAAAAAACAACAACAACTTTTGGTTGAACTGGTTTGAACTGAAAATGTAATTGAGATCCCCAAACATTTCTATAGCAGTGTTGTTTTAGTAATTATGTATTATTATAGTATTCATTAATATTTTGAATGAGCTTTTATTATTTCATCATTTTTGTTTTAGTAATTTTTAGCCATTTTTATTAGTTTTTGAATAGATTTTTAAATTAATATATTTAATTTTCATTTGAGTAATTTTAGCATCTAATTTATCATCTAATACTTTATTTTATTTCAGTTCCCAAAAAAAAAAAGTTTTAGTTAACATTAGCAACACTGTTCTGTAGTTTGGCCTGAAATCACAAATGATCAGTTATAGATGCTGTTCATAATTATTATTTTAAACTCAGTCCCCTCAAAACATCTGACAGATAATCAATTCATACAATAAAGTAAACAAACAATCACCTACCTTTTTGTGGTGCAAGTTAAATAAAAAATATAACTGCACACTGTTTATTAGTTACCAACGTTTTGGCAAAACAAGTATAGCTTTTGTCAAGGTATGATATAATCAATTCATTATACAATAAAAAAAATGTTTTCCCCAAAATCTTGTACTTTCATAATGCAATGCAATATAATATAATATAATATAATATAATATAATATAATATAATATAATATAATATAATATAATATAATATAATATAATATAATATAATATAATATAATATAATATAATATAATATAATATAATATAATATAATATAATATAATATAATATAATATAATATAATATAATATAATATAATATAATATAATATAATATAATATAATATAATATAATATAATATAATATAATATAATATAATATAATATAATATAATATAATATAATATGCTGATGACATCCTGATGGCTGGGATGATGATAAATTCTTCTGTTTTATGGAACGTTATATGTGTTTGTTGCTCAGTTGTTTTGAGTGAGACATAAATGTTGCATAAATTGAACTGATTCATTTTCAGCATCCTTGAAATGGAAGAAATGCTGGTAGTACGAAGCCTTTATTGCATCAGTCTTAAATCACATTGGTCATGTCAAACTTTTATGTTTTCAATGCCTAGTAAAGAAATACATAAAGAATAAGGCCTGGGTTTTTAACGCACCCAAGTGAACTGAGACTTTTAGTGATCTGCACAGCATGAAGTTGTATTTGTTGGGATTCTTTTTTTGTCAGCTTGTGTCTGCACAAGTTCTTTGACCTATGATGAATGTGAATGACCACAAAATATAATTTTCTCTGGTGTTATTTAACCACTAGAAACAATTTTCTTGGTACCTATAGCACATACACTTGAAAAGAGAAGCTGACCTTGCAGTTCTTCGCCATTTTGCTGCTATGGCTATACATTTAAAGGAATAGTTCACTCAAAAATGAAAATTTGCTGAAAATGTATTTAGCCTCATGCCATCCAAGATGTAGATTTTGTTTGTTTGTTCATCGGAACAGATAAAATGTATTGCATCACTTCACCAAAGGATCCTCTGCAGTGAATGGGTGCAAATGAGAGCTCACACAAAGCAACGGTTTGAAGTTAAAATTGTCAAAATGATGAATTTGTTTATTAGAAAATTGCAGCTTTTTTGCTTCATAAGACGTTAATTGATGGACTGGAGTCATGTGGATTACTGTGATGTTCTTATCAGCTGTTTGAACTCTCATTCTGACGGCACCCATTCACTGCAGAGGAACCATCGGTGAGCTGCTAAATTTCTCCAAATCTGTTGATTTGATTAAGAAACAAACTCACCTAATGTACATCTTGGATGGTCAAAGGGTGGGTAAATCTTCATCACATTTTTATTTTTAGGTGAACAATTCCTTTACAAATCTCAGTTAGTAGGTTTTCCAGATATCTTTTCCTACTGTATCACAAACACTGTATATTCCAACTTCTTTCTACTATTTGACACTGCATTTTGCATAGGGAATATTTGTACAGTGGGAGAGAGACAGGAGTTACAGGGTTCCCACGGCCATGGAAAACCTGAAAATAGCATATTTCAATTTTGATTTCCAGGCCTGGATATATCATGGAAAGTTTAACAGTGCTATACAGCATTTTTTTTTCTATTTATGCTCCTCTCTCAAGCATTTCATCAGTTAGACATTAGTGCTTGTGTAGAGTAAACTTGCCCTCAAGCTAGTGTGATAACATCAGTCTCGTCTGTCTGTTCATGGTATTATTGAAGATATTTGCACACTAATTTGTACTCTAGTATAATTCATTTTAATCTGTCTAAAAAGTAATGAAAATTTGTTTTTATGAACTCTGGTGTCCCACTGCTAATGTCGTAACACAGGCTGTGATCTCTGTTGACAATCCTGTATTTGTATTTTGCAATTGCATCCTCTCACCAGTGTCATTCCACCTTTTTTTCCACCCAAAAAGATTTTGGGTTGTTTGATTTAATACACTTGGGAGACGTCCACCGCTATTATGTTATTTACTGTCCATACTAATCCACAGCGGGCATGCAGAATGCTGGGCTCAGAGCTGTTATTAAGTATGCTTAGTACTGACATTCCTTTCCAAATCCCCATACTTTTGAATGAGTCTCTGTCGAGTTTCTAGCTATCTGTTTCTGTCTTAAAAACGGTTTACCAAGACTGTCAGGGCCTTGTCTGCATTTAACGTGACTCAGATATTTCCTCCTAGCAGTCACAGAATAGATTTCTGTTTATTTACCATCCAGAAGGATGAGCAAATATGACTAGTGACCATGTACCACACTATCCGCACGCATACACACGAACGGATACATGTCATCTAAATCACTGCTCTGCAACAGGTGTGTAGTCGACAGTGTGCGGATTGGGAATGTGTCCATTTTATGCTTGTAAATCAAAGCAAAGCCCCGCTATACCGCTTCTTCCTCCTCAACCAGTGCTTCATACTGTAGTTTCCAAGCAAAAATTTATTTTCAGAGAGTGCTCTCGTTGCAGAACACAACAAACAATGTCAGTGGTGGTCACTCAGTCTAAGTATATTTAATAAAAATGGGACTGAATTAATTTCACTGCCAGTAAGTTAAGTTTTTAACTTAATAGTGCTCACTATGATGATGTGCACTTTAGACAAATTATGTTTGGTCTTAAATCACATCTAAGGATATAATCCACTCTCCTTCACTTTCTTTTGTACAACCTTCAAACTTCTGTGACAGACTCAAAGTCTTACTGTAACTCAATATCAGATTATCTTCCATCCCAACCAAACTCTGACTTGAGATGACTGTTATGACCCCAAAATGGTCTAGGGAACATAAAACCCAACAAATACAGAGATTAATCCACATTTCCCTTGTAAAAAAATAAGTGCACTTAATTGTATTTAATGTGCAGCTGTACTCACAGATAATAGAATATTAATACAATAAAAGGCAACTAGAGTACACTTTTATGTTTCTTAAAACACTTTTTTAAAAGTGCACTTTGTATTAATGTCAAATTGAATGTTTTACTTTAAAGTAGATTTTAAAACGTTATGTTTAACGTTTTGGCATGCTTTAAAGACGTACACTTATTTTGTTACATGTTAAAGGCAGTGTAGGTGATTTGGTTCAAAAACATTTTTTGTTATGCTGGTTGAAAGTCTCTTTATATCCGATAGCAATCACTAAGTTAAGTGGTCTAAATTTATTTATTTGTATTTATATCATCAGTGGAAGGCGTAGGACCATAAAATGTTCGTCCAATCAAAATGTTCAGTCCGAATATTACAATAGGCTGTCGTGCCTGTCTGTCAAATACATATTTGCATGCCTCTGCGCACCCTGTTTGCACAGACATGATACATCATCAGCGAGTTCTAGTGAGAATGAAATGCACTATTATTGTTATATTATGTACTTTGTTTTTTCAGCGGTGAATGAGACATGAGGTAATCTGACAGCACTGCATTCAATTCTCCACCAAGTCCATCTCTCATCGTATCGCAGGTTAGTCTCCGGTCTGCCTGAGTGCGTTCATGTGTTTTGGAGGAGGCGTGGCTTTGCAGAGTGATTACGCAGGGAAGGTGAGGATCTTGCTTTCAAAGCTTACTTGCTATCGCTAGCCTTTCCAAAATCGTCTTCCCTGCCTTTAAGTTGGCTACTTGATTATAATTGTGAATATGGAGCCCCCTACATTTAAAGGGTTAGTTCACCCAAAAATGAAAATTGGCCCACAAATTACTCACCCTCAAGTCATCCTAGGTGTATATGACTTTCTTCTTTCAGACGAATCCAGTCGAAGTTATATAAAAAATTGTCTTTGATCTTTCAAGCTGTTTAATGCCACTCAGCGGGTGTTGCATGCATCAGTCCAAAAGAAGTTCAATAAAAAGCACCCATTCATAAAAAAAAAATGTCTCACACGGCTCCGGGGGGTGAACAAAGGCCTCCTGTAGCGAATCGATGCGTTTTTGTAAGAAAAATATCCATATTCAAAACGTAATAATCACTTTAATCTAGCTTGCGCTCACTGTTGTACACTGGAAGGAGTTCCGGGTGGATGACGTATGAGGTCAGCTTTGCGTATGTGCTGGTGAGTCTGGTGAAAACCATCGTTTGTTAACAGGAGCAAAGGAAGCAAAGTTTCCTTACTTTAGCAAAGGAAAACCAGTCTCCTCTTGGCTTATATCGAAATCCTCCGACATTCTTATTTACAAATCCTCGTTTTGTACTTCTAATAAGTGTTTTGTTTTGATCTCTCCCCTGCGCTTCCACGTTCGTCACTTCTGAGCGGCGCATGCGCAACGCTGAACTCATACGTCATCCGCCTGGAACTGCTTTCGTGTACAACAGTGAGTGCAAGCTACATTAAAGTGATTATTACGTTTTGAATATGGATATTTTTCTTACAAAAACGTATCGATTCGCTACAGGAGGCCTTTGTTCACCCCCTCGGAGCTGTGTGAGACATTTTTTTTTATGGATGGGCACTTTTTATTTCACTTCTTTTGGACTGATGCATGCAACACCCGCTGAGTGGCATTAAACAGCTTGAAAGATCAAAGACCATTTTTAATATAACTCCGACTGGATTCGTCTGAAAGAAGAAAGTCATGTACACCTAGGATGACTTGAGGGTGAGTAATTTGTGGGCAAATTTTCATGTTTGGGTGAACTAACCCTTTAAATCCATTGTTGTAATTACAGTGAATAGCTGTACATGTGCATTTGTTTCTGCCCAAAAGCAATTTGCTGTTTTTCTGTTGTTTTTGTTTTTTTCGAAATTTTGGACCCACTCACTACGGTGGCTCAGTTGTACATAACACAAGCTGCAACACACTGAAAATAGCACAGCACAACGCAAACAAGACACAACACAGCGGAAACAAGTCGCAACACAACGGAAATAAGCCACAACACAACAAAATTAGCTCAACACAGAGGAAACAAGACGCAACACAACGGAAACAAGCCACAACACAACAAAATTAGCACAACACAGAGGAAACAAGCCACAACACAACAAAATTAGCACAACACAGCGGAAACAAGATGCAACACAATGGAAACAAGCCACAACACAACATAATTAGCACAACACAGCGGAAACAAGATGCAACACAACGGAAACAAGCCACAACACAACATAATTAGCAAAACACAATGGAAAAAAGTCGCAACACACCGAAATTAGCACAACACAACGGAAACAAGCCACAACACAACAAAATTAGCACAACACAGAGGAAACAAGATGCAACACAACGGAAACAAGCCACAACACAACAAAATTAGCACAACACAGAGGAAACAAGATGCAACACAACGGAAACAAGCCACAACACAACATAATTAGCACAACACAATGGAAAAAAGCCGCAACACACCGAAATTAGCACAACACAACTGAAACAAGCCACAACACAACAAAATTAGTCCTATGCATTGTGTTGTGCACTACTGGATCACCGTAGTGCTCACCATTGTTACCAAACTTAATATTTCAAGGTAAAAAAAAAAAGAAAATAATATACACCATATTTAAAAGACCATATAAGTAATTATAAAGATGTACTTAAGTTCTACTTAAGTGGTTCAAAAAAGCACTCTAACGTTTAGCTATTTGCATTTAATATACATATTCATATAATTACAAGGAACATGCATTTAGGTATTTCAAAACATTGCATTCAGTTTACATGTAAGTATATTGTTTCAGTTTATATTATTTCTATAGTATTCTTTTTTAAAGTATATGCTAAACTGTACTTCTTTTTCAAACAGATTCCCATAACGCATCAGTGAGAAAAAGGTCACCATGACCTAAACCTTCGCATTCATCCTGGTTTTTGCAGGTTAAGTTTGAGTGATAGTCGCAATCGTGAAACGGCTCAGATTTGGACCAGGTTTCATGTTATTTTATCGTAAAAAAAAACAAAGATTTCATCTGAGACAACTGTCCCTTCATCTTCTTCTTGGTCTCTGACCTTTACCGCTAAACACAGCTCACCTGTGTCCCTACTTATTCATTCTGTAATTAGATTTTTATGTGAACAATTTTTCGTGTGTGTGTGTTAACATCCTGAGTGAATTACATTGAGTGCTTGAGTCTCCTAAATAAATGCATGGTTAATCTGTGCAGCATGAGAGCATCTTTGTAAGGATTTTTGCCGAAACATTGAATAAATTGGAACATGTGTGAAAACAGGTGAATAGAGTTTAAAGTATTGGAGAATGTGTCTTTGTTTGGAGAGCTAAAGTGATGCTCTGGGTTTGTATGCTAACAGTATCGGGTTGAATGTGTTTGCAGTGAAGAAAAACTGTAAGACGCTTGCGTTATTGACCTGGAATAAAGAAACACAAAACTACTGCCACAAGAAACATTCCTTTGCACGTCTGTCCGAGCTCCAGTAGTTTATGTCCGTGAAAATATTTTCTGTGAACAAAATTGACCAAATGTTTCAGCACATGAGTTCTGAATGTTCGCTCTGTTTTTCCTTCAGGTCTGATGTCTTGATATTCTTCTTTCCTCTACCGCTTGACGAGGTGAAGATCATGTGATCTCCAGAAGGTGTGCAGGTCATAGAAAAACACACACACACCATCTGGACACAAGTGACATACACCCTCATTACTACAAAATTACACACCATAAGACACACTCAAGTATGCAAAGAGAAGCCTGGGGACTGCAGTGCAGAATGGGCCTGTTTTACATTTGTTTTTCTGTTCTAGTGGGTTTTAGAGGGAGAGAGAGTTTTTTTTGCTCTAATTCTCTGATTTAGTTCTGGTTAGGTCGGAATAAGCCTCTCTGAGTGCTAGAAAGAAAGATAGAGAGACTGTGTCTGTCCATCAGAAAGTGATTGTAATTCTAAGCATTTTACAGCTTCTCTCACAGAGAGATTTCTTGGAAGGAATTCTTGCTGCTTATGAAAGAACAAAAAATGGGGTGAGTGGAAAGAGAAAAGAGAAAGTGAAAAAAGGAGAGAGAGGAGGGAGATGTGTGCCAGTGTGCATATGACTCGCTGTCTGGGGGTGAGAGAGAGACACACACACACGGACACACTCACACGCGCACTTAAATACCAAAGAGAGAAACCCCCTTTCACTAAAACATTCTCTAACACAAACACACATCTCCATTCACAGACTGCACCACTGCTGTACTTCTTATTAGGACTGGACATACACACATATTTACACACATATTAACTGTCTTATTCTGCTCATGGCTTGTGGGATGCAACTGCCGACCTGGAGCGGACACCACTGGAGACTCATCCAGCATTTCCTCCAGATGACCCTCCTGCTCTCCCTCCTGTGCCCACCCACAGAGCCTGTTCCCTGGGACAACGGCTCCAGCAGCAGCCCTGGAGAGGTAAGAACCACAGACAAAGACAAACGATACCAGCTGGCAGAATTAGAATGCATACAAATGACTCTAGGCAAACCATGCTTAGCAATATTTTATAGCATGTTGTAGTGCTACTTAATTCGAATACATTAATACATTAGTACAAATATACATAAGCAATATACTTGTAAAAATTCAAAAAATAAAAAGTATTCAATATCTGTAGTATTAAGTTCCTATAAAGTTCTATATCTATATATATAGAAATATACATGTATGACATGAAATATAAAATATAAAATATACAAATGTACAGGTATACTCTCAGAAAGTTTATTTCCAAACAGTATACATTACAGCATTTTAAAATAATTTTTAAAATGTTTTTTTTTTAAAGTTGAAAATGGTTGCAAATACAGTAACAAAGTATAGAGTACTCATTATAAAACAAGAAATATATTGTACTGTAAAACTACAGTAAGAATGGAGTTCTGCAAAGAAGGTTGAGTATAAAAAAGTAAAAAAAAAAAAAATAATAATATGTAGAAATCTGCATTTAGAAATCAAAATGTTGATATATTTAAAAAAGAAATATCATCCATTATATGATGTTCATGCAAAGTTACTTCATATTACTCCTGTAAACGTTATGTAGTGCATAGAAAAG